AGCCATCTAAGACTAACGCGTTGAGGTTCTAAATGGCTTAAACACTAAGAAACACAAAATCGAGTTCCAGCCTCTAAACTGTATCACCAACATGGGAACCCTGAGTCTCCTCACATTTCAGAGCCCGGAAGGGCACTTCTTTCCTCTTCCTCATGCGCGAAGAAGTAGCGGCCTACTCAGCCAGCGGCCAATTACCGTGAGCGTTCGGAATCCCGCCGCACGGTCCAGACTTACCTGCCGTGCTCTCTGCAGCGCATCTTTGAAAGCATCGTTAACTCCTCCACCACCACCGCCGCCGCCTCCACCACCAGCTGAGCCAGAGGAAGGTGGAGGCACTGTTGAGTAGTCTGCCATGTCTACGCTACAGAGGCCGCTGCCGCTTCTTCGCAGAGATGTTCCCTCAGCCAACTGCTAAGAAAGAAAGAAAATGGCGGCCGTCGAGGCTGTATCACATTCTTGTGCGACCATCGTGCCGTAAAGGGGCGGAGACTGAAAGGAGAAAATCTCGCGATGTTTTGAAGCGACGCGCTGCTGTGGGGGTGGGGTTGAAAAAAACAAGGTGAAGCAGAGAGATGTCGCGAGAAGTGTGTCCACGATATCGCGAGAGTGAAGTTTATTTTTGGCGCCTCCTCTACGCGCATTCGCGTGTTGAGACTGTGTGGTTGTACTTCCGGGGTGGTGGGTAAGAGTGGCGCGGCGACCCCGGTTGGCTGGAGTTTCTGAAAACCTGAAGAAAAGGAGTAGTTGCTTTCTATTGGTTGCCGCCTCGGGGAGGGAGTGTGGGTGAATTTTCCTCCAAGGGTCCTTCCGTGTATCCATGGGAAAGCGGGTGACGTCGACGGGCGTTAGGACGACGCAACAGTATCTCGAGAGCGCCGCAACCAGGAGTGCGCCTGGGAGAAGCGTGCCCGGGACGCCACGCGGAGATGTTCCCGAAAACGTCCGCCCGGCCTAGCGGGATCTCGGCATGATTTTCAGGGTAGTAAAGTGTCCCTGTATTTTACGTCTAGATTGCCAGATCTTTTAGCTTTATCACAAGTGGGGATTAATTTAGGCTGGAGGCCTTTTAGTTCTTGAGCTGATTTCGACATCTTGTGTAAATAATGTGGATGAAGCTTTGAAGTTATGACTGCCCTGTACTTTACCTTTAAAAAATATGACTGCTCCTAAAATTCTGTTGTAACCACACTTAGTAATCTAGTATTGTATGTGTCCGGGATCAGTTTTATTGAGATCATCTTATAAGAACAACATCAAATTCTTCTAACAATAGTTTGCCCCATCCCCTACCGGTAAGAATCCACATGTAATGTTCTGAATTGTCATCCCTGGACTAGATAGCTTTGTAAGTGTGTATATTTTGTTATCTGTTCCCAATTATCAGGTAACTTCAGGCCTTCCCGACATATGATGGCATGTAATTTACTGCAATATTAGTAGTAGTAGTTTCAGATTCATGGGGATGCTTCGGGAATCTTATTTAGGAGTCGACCGAAATGGTTTTTTTCCCCGAATTCTTTTATTTTTAGAGAACAAAGACCTAGGTAAAATGAACTTTATCAACTTGGCATTTTGTGTTTTGTGAATTAGGTCTAAAAGAGTCCTTTCCCCATTGCTAGTCTTAAGAGTAACTGGGAGAAATGTGTGCTGCTGTCTTACTGGTAACTAATGTGTGCACTTGTTCAAGGCCCCAAATAAGTCGGATCATTAGACAGTTATATGCATATAGCTACAATTGTGGCATCATTTTCCTCCAATGAAGCTTTTCTTACCGTCTTAACGAGTTATACAGTTTTGATTATCTTTTTCAGTGTTCATAACTATCCTTTTAGATTTGGGTTGATGGGTGTGATTTCTATTTGGAAAAGCAGTGAATGTATTGGACTACAGATTTAAGTATAATGTAAAAAAAAAAAAGACTGTAAAAGCGTTGTTGGGTGGTATTGCTAAACAAAATTTTTACAGTTGTTTTGAAAAAGATTATCCAACAAATGGCATTTATTAATCAATTGATTTCTTCATATTAATTAGACCTATTCCTTCCTGATCAATGTAATGTAACCAGAGTGATATAATTTACCCTCAAATAAACTTTATTTCAGACAGTATTAGTTGTCTCTAAATATTGAAAATAAGGGCCTCCATTTCTAGTTTATTTGTAGACTCTCCTGGAAGAATGGGTATTCTAGGATGGACCCAGTTGAAATCAGTTTAGATAGGGATATCTTAACTTCAGTACCATTTAGACTGTTTGATCAGATAACTCTATATTTTGTAATACTACTATCTAGTGTAATATGTTTAGCAGCCTTAGCCTCTACCCATAGATGCCAGTAACACCCCCAGCCACAAACACACACACACACTCAGTTGTGAAAGTCAAAAATGTCTCCAGATAGGCAAAATCATCTCACATTGAGAACCACTAGTCAGCCTTCATTCCTGTGCCTGCCTCTCCATTGGGAAGACCTATTTATCATACTTTTGAGGTATATTCCAAATTCTGTTAATTTCCATTTCCGCTCCCAAGTTACCATCACCTCCATCCTGGACTGTTATAGTATTCTGGTTGATTTTTCTGCTTCTACCCTTACATGTCTACAGTTTGCTCTTTAATATTATGAAATTTCATACAGAAAAGTACGTAATATATGTGTAAGTTCTCAAAAGTGACAAGCAGCCATTTCCAATATTTTTGAAGCTCAAGCCTCTACTTGATGATTGTGTTGCAATTGTTTATATAGCAGCTTGAATAATGTCTTTAAATCTTTTTTAATTACAAAACTTTTTATTTTAGAGAGAGAATGAGTGGGGGAGGGGGCAGAGAGAGAAGGAGACACAGAATCTGAAGCAGGCTCCAGGCTCTAAGCTGTCAGCACAGAGCCTGATGCAGGGCTTTAACCCACAAACTGAGATCATGACCTGAGCCAAAGTTAGACACTCAACTGATTGAGCCACCCAGGTGCTCCTTGAATGATTCCTTTATAACATAAATCAGGTCATCTCACCTTTGTGTTCCTATTGCACTTTATTATTATTTTTTTTTACCTTTTAGAGAGAGTGCATGTGTGCACATGAAGGGGAGGGGCAGAGAGAGATGGAGAGAGAATCCCAAGCAAGCCCCTCACTGTCAGCGCAGAGCCTGATGCGGGGTCTGAACCCATGAATCACGAAATCATGACCCAAGCTGAAATCCAGAGTTGGACGCCCAACTGACTGAGCCACTGAGGCACCCCTTCCTATTGCACTTTAAATCCTATACCCTGGATTAGTGTACAGGCTCCATATAATCAGGCCACTGTCTCTAAACATTCCTCCCTTTTATTCCACTTCACCCACCTTGCTGTCTAAGATCATTCCTGCCTTTAGGATTCCTTTTTTTTCTGCCTGGTGTGGATGCTCTCGTAGACTTTCACATGGATAATCTGTCCTCGTCATTCAAGGCTCAGTTCAGATGTCACCTTAGTCCCTCTCTGACCTCTAGTTGTGCCATTCTGCAATCACTATCCTATTACTTCTCTCTCTCTCTCTCTTCCCCCCCAGCCCCTCTCCCTCACTTGCACTCTCTCTAAAAATTATATATAAATTGTGTGTGTGTGTGTGTGTGTGTATATATATATATATATATATGTGCTTACTTGTTTATTGTCTCTTTTCCTTTAGAATGTAAACTGGAGAGGGAGGAGTTTGTCTACCTCTACCATTGACCTGTCCCTAATGTCTAGTCTTAGTGTTCTAGATATTTGCTGAATGAATAGAATATTGAAAAAAAATCTGTCTCTACATTTTAGTTGATTTTGTGACCTTAGGCAAGTAATTTAGTTGCTGTGTCTCAGATTTCTCCTCTACATTATGACAACTTGCTTTGCTATCCTCAAATGAGGTATCTGTGAGTTCTTCAGAAACCAGAAAGTGCTGTAAAGTGGAAATTAATATTATTAACATGTAATTCAGTTTCTGGCATCTTATCACGAAGGAAGGATAATCCATGTAAATTTTTTGGATTACAGCTATGTTCAAATCTTAGTTTTAGTAAAACCCAGAATCCTGCAAGAGCAACTGAGTTGTGGGAGAAATAACCAGTGACTTTTGATTAAGCTATATGTGAATTCTCAGTCTACACAATCGTTTTAAACCCATTTGTACTTTGCTAGTTATTCTAGGTAATTTCATTAGAACTGATGAAATCAGGATTTTCTTTAAACTTTTTTTTTAATGTTTATTCATTTTTTTGAGAGACAGACAGAGCATGAGTGGGGGAGGGGCACAGAGAGAGGGAGACACAGAATCCAAAGCAAGCTCTAGGCTCTGAACTGCCAGCACAGAGCCTGATGCAGGGCTCGAACTCTCAAATTGTGAGATCATGACCTGAGCCGAAGTTGGATGCTTAACCGACTGAGCCACCCAGGTGCCCCTGAAATCAGGATTTTCTTAACTAAATTCATTTCCTTTTGCAATGTAACTTTTCTTAAAAGTGGGTATATCATCGCTAATCTAAAATTGGTTTATTGTGCTTTGAGAGATTAGCCAAATATTTGACTAGATTATATTTTATAGTCACACTTTTAACACAGAAATTGGTATTTCATATTTCATTCTTAGGATGAAGCAAAAGTTAGTGTCTTTGAATTTACAGAAGTCTAGTGGGGAGCATTTAGATTCACCAAATAACAGTGAAAAGATTAGCAAGCATAATAAAAGTTGGGCCATTAAATGTACTGGCAAGTTTCTTCATTTAACCTTCTGACTTATTGGTTACCAAATGACTGAGTGGCCTTTTTCTTAGTACAACTTTTCACTTTTGGAGTTGGTAAATTTGAAATATTAACAGATTCTTATTTTTAGCTATTATAGAAAAGTAGTCCATTATTGCTTTCTTTTTTTCTTTTCTTTTCTTTTTTTTAGTTTTTTATTTATTTTGAGAGAGAGAGGGACGGAGAGAATCCCAAGCAGGCCCCATGCTGTCAGCATGAGCCGTAATCAGGGCTCAAACTCATGAACTGCGAGATCATGACCTGAGCCAAAATTGGGAGTCGGATGCTTAACCAACTGAACCATCTGGGTGACCCCCATTATGGCTTTTTAACAGGCATTTTAGAGTGACAAAATTGTACAGGCTTCCTGCCTCACCTTTATGCCCATCACCTACCTCCTAACAGCTCTTAGGCAGAAGGATCTGGTAACTTCATGCTATACTCTGTGTCATTTAACCAGGCCAGTATTTCCTCAGTATCATAGTCACAAAAGATTCAGTTTAGATGTGAGGAGGGAAGTGGCCACTTCAAATTAAACATACCAGGATGTAGTTAGGGTGTTTGTTCATTAGGCTGGTCATTGGTCTTAATGACTTTTATATCCCTTCTGACTGAGTTTCTAGAATTCTGTTTCAGACTAAGGTATGAATGGAAGCAGGATATATTTGCATCTTAGAGGACAAAGTTGTTAGCACAAATTGACTTTGGACCATTGTGGAGAACCAACAGCTTGACCAGTGTCTGAAACTGGAGGCAGCCCCAGATAGTGGAAAAGACTCTGGACTTGGTCCCAGAGGATCTGTGTTCAAATATAACCCCTGTGCCCTTTGGTAAGTCATACAACTTTTTCCTTTTACCAGCATACCAAAAAGAGGGCAATTACTCTGTTTCTGAAAAGTAGCCAACAGTAAAGGATAATAAAAAGTCTTACATAAACTTCTGAAAGGGAAAATAGAAGTCACTATGTGAAAACATATCCCCTTCCCCTCAGTTATTAGAAATTTCTTCTCTGATTTGGTTGCCAAATTTGATAGTGTGGTCCTGATTAAAGTACTGTAAGAAGACTGAAGAATGCTAGGATATTGCTCATAATCATTTGATTTGCCCTAAATCCAGCTTTTTATCATCCTTATCATTCTCACTTATCCATAACTGCAGAGCCCCCTTTTTGTCAGGTATCCTTCCTACCTCTTCCATTTTACTGTTGCTGATTGTTTCCATTTTTCCAGAAAATTCAAAGGGCCTCTTTAGTGTTTGGCTAGTCCAGAGCTCTCTAGGGATTCTTTTTTTTTTTTCTTTTTAATGTTTATTTTTGAGGGAGAAAGTGCGAGTGGGGGAGGAGCAGAGAGAGAGGGACAGAGAATCCAAAATGGGCTCTGTGCTCATAGCAGAGAGCCCGATCCCGGGTGTGAACTCACAAAACTGTGAGATCATGCCTGAGCCGAAGTCGGACGCTTAACTGACTGAACCACCCAGAAGCCTCTCAAATTTAGGGATTCTTATTTGTTATCATGTACTACATCATGGTAATAATAACATAATATCACTTATTTTTTATTTGGAATTCCCACTAGGTTGTAAGGTCCATGGCAGTAAGGGCTCTGTCTTTTCTGTGTCTTTACTGCATAGCATGCTCTAAAACATAGCAATAGCTAATAGTGGCTAGTACTATATACTGGGTCCTGTTCTAAGTGCTTTACTTGTATTTAATTCATTCTCATACGGCTCTATGAGATGCTATTAAAATCTCCATTTTGTTGCAGTACAGGTAAGTTAACCACCTTGCTCACGGTCACATGTTAGTGTTAGTGATTTGAACCCAGGCAGTCGGAGTTGAAAGAACGGAAGAATCTATTCAAAGTCAAGTAATGGGATATATATGTCTTTGTAATTTCTATGGTATGGTTCACAATTTAGTATTTCTCACTTGGATTTTAAAAATATGTATTTGCATTTGTTTCTATTAAGACATATGCTGAAGTTCTTCATGGGAAGGCAGATCTTAATGTAAGGTAATAAAAATGTTACAAAATCAAAGAACCCATGTATGTATAACATGATACAAGCTTGCTTTTCTGTATTGTTAATTGCATTGGATGGATTAGTAATATCCCTTACTAAAGTATATATGGTGCTTTATGGGTGCCTGGGTGGCTCAGTCGGTTAAGCATCTGACTTTAGCTTAGGTCATGATCTCATGGTTTGTGAGTTTGAGCAATCAGTCTCTCTGCTGTCAGCACAGAGCCTGCTTAGGATCCTCTGTCCCCTTCTCTCTCTGCCTTCTGCCCCCCCCCGCCCCCCCCCCCGCCGGTGTTTTCTTTCTCCCTCCCTCCCTCTCCTAAATAAACTATAGTGCTTTATGGTGTGTGTGTGTATGATGTATGTGTATACATACATATATATTTGGTATAATTAGTGTTATTTTTCAAAGAAATTTTACAGGGGGGTTTTGTTTTGTAATTCACACCACTAACTAGATTGTAAGCATCTTCAAGACAAGAATAGGATTGCTTAATTTTAATTTTTTCCCTGTATTACCACACAGCATCTATGAGAGTGTTTTTACTCTTTGTCTGCATATTGGATTCCTCCACAAACTAGCCCCCCTCCCCAAAGAAGCATACCAAGAGTTTTAAAATCAGAGTCTTCTGAGAATTGAGGATAAAATTTTTCATAGTTCAGTCTTTTAGAACAATTAGTGTTTGAGACAAAGGTTCTTTGTGAAAATAATATAAATTTTCTTTGCTCTTTAAGACCTCCTTCCGTGAAGGGGAAAGGCATATACTGTATGGGGGAAGAGGGAGGGGCTTGCTAAAGTACCATTCCCAACTTTACAGGGTTCTTCAAGTTTTATGAGAGAAGGACCATCCTTAACTGTATCATACAAAGGACTTCTTTGAATATAGATAATATTTGGCTAGTTGCTCACATCTTTTGGCAGCCAATGTGTAAGCAGGATCTGTCCCTTGACCAGGATCATAGGAGATCTAGCACAGCATCATAAAATATATAAGAAATTGAATATCCATATTTAGTGAAAAAAATGTAGAGCTGACTACCCTTGCTGATGAGCCATATATACTCCCAGCTTCCCCTTACTTTAGGGATAATTCTAGATTGAAATTTGGTACTCCTGACAGCATCTGTCTCAAAAAACTGGCCTTTACCACCCAGTTTCTGAGTGATTTTAGTTAATTCTATAGCATGCATTCCAATAACTTACAACAAAGCTGGTATATAATACTGCAGAATATAATATATAATAAAACTGCATAATGTATAATATATATGGTTTCTTTTTTTGACCTATGAAGCTTTTTTTAAATTTTAATTACAGTACAGTTAACATAGTGTGATATAAGTTTTCATAATTTACTTTGAATTGGTCCTCTACCTATTCCCTAAATGTACTTCCAAATCTGTGTCTGCAGCAACCTCCAAGACTCATCTTGCATGTTGCTTCAAAACCAAAATGTCTAAAATAAATTCACATTTACTGTTCTTATTCTTCCTTTATCTTGTGGCCAAAACATGTTTTTTTCCTTCCCTACTTAGATCATATATTTATACATCAGTTCCTTTCACTTCTGTTACATTTATCTTTTTCCATTAAAACTTAAGCCAAATAAAAATGAAAATTAAAAATCATCTTTTTTCATGAACCTTAACCTGACTAACCAATTCCATTGATCTTTTACTTAATTAAGTGTATTGGTTACAGGGGAGCTTTTCTAATAATGTTTAAGCTGAGCCCCAACCCCTACTCCCAGAGACTGATTTAATTGGTCTATTATCTCTATGTGTGACAAGTTCTTAAGTTGATCCTTAAAGCGCAGCCCACACTGGAGAACCACTGAAATATAACTGAAGCCTACATGTTCATTAGACTTGCTTATTTTTGATGCCTTATAGTTTGTCCTCTAGTTTTTTCTCTAGTTTTCTAGAGAACTCAAGGTCTAAAAGCATTTTCTATTTTTGAACCCTATTTTTTTGTTGATTGAGGCTAGGGCAGTGTTTCTTAAAACAAAGGTATGTTTGAGAAACACCCTCAACATCATCTGGGGTGTTTTTTTTTTTTTTTAATGTAGATAGTTGGGCCCCACCTGGACCTAGTGAAAAATGTTTCAGGAAATCTACGTTTCTTTCTTTCTTTTTTTTTAATAAACATCATAGTTGATTATTCTGCTTATCAGAATGAAAACTGCCCTATTATGCAATAAGTATTTAATAAATGTGGAATTTAGCTTAAATTTTGTTTCCCCAGCTAGACTAGTAAATGTTCTAAACACCGAGATCTTGTTCTCTGCTTTTCTGTCTGTGTAAGAGAGGGCTGGTCAAGGACTAGATCTTACTCTTTGGTTTACCCAGTATGGTTTGGTGCTTTTATGTTGATAAAATCTTAATATCAAGTTGAATTGTTTGTTACCATATTAACCATTTTCCTGCAAAACTAGAATTAAACAAATTGTTGAATATGTGGTTATGAATGTTGGGGGCCTTTGAGGCTATAGCATGGAAGTGTACCCTCACTCAACTTTTCTTAGACTTGCAGACTTGAAAAGACCTTGAAGATCATCTAGTCTGTTTCTTTCATTTTATGGTGGAGGAAATTGGGACCCAGATTGCTTGAGAGCCATACACAAAGTGACAAGATTAATGGCAGAGCCAAGACTAGATTACTAATCCAGCGCTCTTTATTTCATCAACAAACTCTGTGAAGCAGCAATGATTGGGTTAAGTTTCAGTTGAAGGTTTTCTGCTCCTTAAATACAAAGGGAAGAAGAATCTTTGCAGAACCAAAAACATCTTGATATTTGTAATGAGGACATCTACCTTTACTCACAATATTTACATTTTGAGATAGATTATTGAAAGAAAGAGGATCTTTGCCAAAGAAATCCTTAACTGAAAATGGGTGGGTTTGAGATGTAAAGCCCACTTGGTATACAGTTTTGTTGTTGTTTTTTAGTGGAACTTTGCTTCTCTCTCCTGACATTTCCATGTCTCTATTTATAGCCAGTGATCTCTTTGGAATTTGCCTTCTGATTCTGTTTGTTCTTTTATGTTGCTTCATATTAACTGATATTCTCACTTCGTTTTTGTTAAATATATTTGAAAGGACTTGATAATGAAAAGAAGGAATTAAAATTTTTAGAAGCATCTGAAATTATTGTTTGTGATTTACCATAATCATTACTTATAACAGGTCACCTAATTGTAGTGCCTAATGATAGAAGTACTAACTTTTCAAGATAGGATAATAGTTTATTTTTTAAATTTAAAAACATATGAAAACTACAATACATTTCTTTTATCCAGGACAGGTAATAAATACTTGGATTCTTAACAACCTTGCTCTTTAATGATGATGTATTTGATATAAGTGAAGACCAAGAGATTTTTGCTTAGAGCCTTTAAAATGGTAAACTCCTTAAGTGTAGGAATTGTTTTATTTACCTTTGTGATTAAAATAATACCTGTCATCCATAGGTACTTACTTATTCAATTCAGGAAAAATGCTGGGCATTGTTCTTGGTGCTGGAGATACCTTAGTGAGCAAAACAGACAAATATGCTTACCCTCAGGAATCTTATTCTAGCAAGTGAATGTTGAAGGAAACCATGAATCACTACAAAGACTCCATCTTTGTTTTCAGATAGTTCTTTGCATCAGTCTAAAAAAGAATAATCTGGAGCCCCTGGCTGGCTCAATCTGTGGAGAGTTTGGACTCTTGATCTCAAAGTTGTAAATCTCAAAGTTGTAAATTCATGCCCCACACTGGGTGGCATAAATAAATAAAATCCTAAGAATAATCTGTAGTTTATTAAAC